CAAACACTAGGAACCATTAGGCAAACAATTGTCTACTGATTACTTGAATTAATAAAAAACTTATTGGCAAAGTCCTTGGAATTCTTTCACACTATGACACTTAACAGCATCACAAATGATGGTGATACAAAAGCAGTGGAACTTTATATCTGCTGCAATCCTTGTAAAATGTCACCAGACAATTTACATCCCTAAGTGGAAAATGTTCTCTATGTAATGGTACACTTGGAGGATCAACATGCTTTAGGGTCATGAGGACAAGAGTGCTCATGAACAATTGTCAATTGCTTCGACTAACTAGTTCTCAGAAGGAGGCCTGTATGTCCCTCTGAGAGACTTCTTACCCACTCAGGCAAGCATGTCCCCTTTAAAGCACTCTGAAATTAAAACTACTCTTAAACATTAACATGTCTTACAATTCAAGGCACTACAGAATTCCAATGTGATGCACTGAGGAGATTTATATTGTTCATCTTCATGGTACTCTACTGTAGCATAAGAAATGACACAAATATTATAAGTTACTAATGGATGTGGGGACAATGTTTTGCTATCCATGAAAGCATTGTGGAAGTTAACAAAGAGGCAGTTTGCAATAATTAAATATAATATGATTGAGGCATCTCATTTAGGATGAGTATGAAATACAAAATCATGTATGTGTGACAGAATCTATTCACCACATACTGTATTTAGTGCACACTTCCATTACTTTGGGGAAATCCATATAATCTAAGTTTCAGACATCTTCATTTTAAATATATTAAATCTGATGAATTCATGACTCTTGTAACTCTTCCAGGTATATAATTTTTGCTGCTTCTGCACTAAGGGACAACATATATATGACCATAATCATGTAAGTGATAAAAGAAAAATGAGAAACCTCCACACAAATTAGGTATTTTGGATTATTTTGGAGGGGTAAATTTTAAAACAACTTTGCTCAAATACATTATAAAATATCAATATTTTGTAGTTTTAACATTTTACATGTTTATAATTAAAATCTGGATTACTGATGAATAGATGAAAATACAGGTAGAACTCCCATTTCAAAGGTATATCTTCCACCATCACAAATAGGCTGGCTAACAAGACTTTCTAAAGAAACTTATGCTGTGCTACCCGAATTTAGCTTTATAGTAGCAGGACATACCACTATAGTCAATCAATGTATATGTAGCTGTATGTTTTGGAGATATGGGAGGGCTATTCTTTTTCTTTGGCTGTTCAACTACAGCTGGATGGCATCAGGAACACAATGGGAATATATTTTGCCAACAACAAACTGTGGTTGTGTTAGAGAGAAGGTATTTGTACACAGAAGTTATGAACAATTTCTGCAACAATTCTCAAAGTACATACAGTATGAAAGTGAAAGGACCATCATCAATATATCACTCCAACATCATTGTAGTTTGTGTTGACCATCACCTGTATGCTTCCTCAACAGGGTGTTTTTAATCCAATCTGCCTTTAATTTCAGTCTAGAAATCCAAGAATCCAAAGCCTCTTCCCCTCGTTGTTGTGATTATTTTCCCCAACAGCCAGGTTAATGGTAGTAGAAAGCTGGAGAATATATGAGAGAAGTATGGAATGCTTGAATAGGATCTAATGAGTTAGTATGAGGGAAGAGACATGACTTAGAGTGGGCCTTAGGAACACTGTCAAAAATAGGGTGTTACAAGTTAAGGCTGGGGAGAAGAATGTTCAAAATGTGTCAACCTGTAAAACAAACAAAAGTATTGACATGTATAAATGTGAACTGCGGGAGTAGGGAACCTTTGGCCCACAAGATAATCTGAATTACAATTCCCACTGTCCTGTAGACCATACTTCCCAGAGTTCAAGTACAAAGCTTCATTTAGGTTAAAGGTTCTCAATCCCAACATCTTATAACAAATTAGGTCATTGACAAATTGTCTTCTATTGACACAGCAATCCAAACTCATAGGTCCACGGTTTTTGACAATTTGTAGGTATTAAGTCACACACAGTAAGCATAATCTAGGAATTCATGGTTTGGAAAATCACAGTTTCTACGAGGACTGTTCATGCATTCGCAAGTGCCAGAAGCAGCCAACATACCATGAAACCACCCATGGTCATAGCGGGGCAGCATATTCACAAAGTCATAGTTACGCATGATACATATAATTCTCATTACAGCTGTAAGTATCATAGCTGGCAGTTCTCATGGGTAGAATTACATAATTCATACAGTATGTGTTAAAATAAAATCTGGCTTGTACATTGTGTAGGTCAGGGAGGGAGAAAATGTAGCCTTCCAGCTATTGTTGAACTGGAACTTCCTTCCCTACTAGCTAATGAAAAGCAAGTGTAATAAAAACAAGAGGGTTGCATGTTTTCTTACATTGAATGTAGGCTCTAACTTGAGATACTGAATCAAGAAGACAGAACATAACATTCCAATATGCTAGCATTTCCCCATAAACTCAACTTTAAATTGCTGCAATCCTCTGCCCCAGTATAGTCATTTACTGACTGGTAGAAAGCAAGGAAATGTAACAGATCCATCACACTGTGTTCCTATGCTGGATGCACAGTAGCAAGGCATTCTATATAGTTTTCTGGGGGTGCTTCAAAGGTCATGAAGAATGACATCAATGCTGTGCATCCAGTTATAAGGTCATGAATTTCTGTTGTTCCTCACTTTAATCTGGTCAGCAAACAGGCATGCTGTCTGGTGTTTGGCAGCATCTTAAAAGTGGATGGGTGAATGTTTGGTCATTGTGTGAAGTCAGTAGAAAAAAAAATCTGACTCTGGAATGATCAAAACAATGATTTATGCAGATGCAAGTTGGATTTATGCCTTTGTAAGTCACTAACAGGATGTCAGCCAGAGGATGCTAAAACACCTGGCACAAAAGCAAGTTCTGGTACATTGAATTTAGTGAAATTAAAGCTGGGCTTTTATGACATGTCTGCATTAGCAAATTGTCTAAAAAGAAGGAGGCATTAAGATGACTATACAAAGGGACAGCAATATTATTCAATAGGCATGTGCAATCCATGGTTCTAAATGGTTCTAAAGTACTTACAAAACTAAAATTCTGGTGGTGAAGACTAGGGGGCACTGGTGCTTCGCTTCTACAGTGTTGCTAAAGTTCTGGTGGTGAAAATTTCAGAACTCTAACAAAACTTTCAAAATTTCATTATTATTTCATTGCTGATGATTTTTATGACAGAACCAATTAGGAACTGCCATTTATAATGAAATTTTGAAAGTTTTGTTAGAGTTCTGAAATTTTCACCACCAGAACTTTAGCAACACTGTAGAAGTGAAGCACCAGCGCCCCCTAGTTTTCACCACCAGAACTTTAGTTTTGTAAGTACTTTAGAACCATTTAGAACCATGGATTGCACATGTCTATTATTCAGTAGTAGAAAAATTAACAAAGAGGCTTTTGGCATCTTAAAAGACTTACAAATGCATTATAGCATGGGTTTTCATAGATTATAGACCATTGTAGGTATTAAGTATTTTTCAGGCATCTGTACCATGCCCATGGGGTGGGATTGTGGACAGTGACTGAGGACCTTTTCACACAGCTGCATAAAATCTACATTATCTGCTTTGAACTGGGTTATATGGCAGTGTGGACTCAGGTAACCCAGTTGAATGCAGATATTGTGGATCATCTGCCTTGATATTCTGGGTTATATGACTGTGTGGAAGGGCCCTGAGAGTACTATAAAGGAAAACAACAGTCCATATCATGGGCACACTGATTTAAGTAAATGGTTCTTATATTAGCTCAGTTCCAATTGAAAAGTTCCTATGGGCATTTCCAGACAGGCCAAAATCCCAATTCCTCCCAGGATTAAGGCCTCACAGCATTCCCAAACCCCAGGATTTTGTAAGGGGTGACTACATGCTCCCCCCCCCCCCCGGTTTACCAGCCCCTTGATGCAGCCATGCTTCCCTGGCACGTTAAGAGGGGAAACTGGGGACTGGGGGAAGGATAAGGATGCCATCATCCTACTTTGGTCTCTTAGAGCCCAAAGAACCAGGATGGCAATGGGGACTGGTGCTCAGGATTGCAGAATGTGGTCCCGAGAGTCAATCCCCAAAGGCCCAACACCTCAGAAGATCTGGACCTTGCAATAAGGTCTGGATTTGTTGAGGTATATTTTAAAATCCGGAGTAAATCAAGCAATCCCAGTTTACTCTGCATTAATCTGGATTAACCTGAGGTGTGGTTTGGATAGGTTTTGGCTCTGTCTGGAAGGGCTCTAAGAAGAATGTGGATAAAAGTTCAGAAGCAATAGCATCTATAGGACAATTACATGGATTTTGCCATCTGAGATGTTGAAACTGGCTATTGTGTGACTGAAAATGCATCACCTTAAACAAGTTTGTAATTCAAGGATATATTGATGTTTTTCTTCATAAACATATGCATTGTGTTTACGATGAAACTATAAAATGCTTAACTGGACTGTTTGCTTGTCTAGGATTTGGTGCAGAATATATTGAATTAATTTTTCCTGAGTTTAATTCATTCACATAACATGACATGCCTGTGTTATAAATTATACCTTTATAACACACTAGCCATCTTTTTAAATCTTGAGAGCTTAGGCCTTGCTCATAAATCTTTACCCTTCATGCCAACTTTCTTTAACCTAAACTGCCAATATGTTTTCCACCTTCCTTCAAGCAACACTCACATTTATCTACAGGCAGCTCTTTTTTTCTCTTGCTTCCTTTCTCTTGATCAACAAGCTTTTTTTCATTCTGTTCCATTCTCTAGTCAGATGATCATACCTTCCTACAGCTGCCCTTTCTCCTGGCTCAACTTCCTATTTCTAGGTTTAAGTTTGGCTTCAAGAGGGGAAGATGCTATATAACTATTACACTTTTAAAGATTGATTAAATTGTCTTGGTGCTGTATTTGAAGAGCCTTTGATCTTACAGTGCAATTTGGTTCTCTAGAGTCTAACAAGCTAGCTCTAGAAAATATGAGATACCATTTTGGTTTTGTTTTGTTTTGTTTTTACAGAAAAAAAGCAGTTCCTTAGCACTGGAGCACAACAGAAATTTCAGGTCCTTGTTAGAGCTCAGCACTTGAAACAGATAAAAGAAAAAAGGTCTTTGTCTTTCATAATGGGGCCTCTCTGTATAATGATGTTATTGCAGATCCCAACGGCACCTCCCAAAATTGCCAAGGATGAAGGGTGATGGGACTGGCAGGCCACTAACATCTGGAGGGTCATGCGTTAAACATCCATCTATCACCACGGGATGTTACAGTTGCTAGCCAATGGGAGAAAATGGCTGATCAATGATTCCACAAACTTAATTCAATATTTACTTTGTAGACTACAATTAAAGTGACAATGCTTAGCTGAACAAGATCACCTAGGGACATTTGGGAAATTTTCTTTGAAGAAATGAAGTTCCATGGAAACAAAAGTCTATATTTGATTTCTTTTTCCACCCAAGTCTGGCAGCAATCCAGTCAGCAAAGCTATTGTGTCATTGACGGGCTTTTAGCCAAGTTCCTACTTAGGGCTCATGTATAATGTGAAAAATCTGGCAGTTGCTGCTATTGTGATGTTATTATCTGAGAAAAGCTGTCCTTCATGGACTACATGATAAAAGTAACTATTTCTTTCTCTTGTGGGCTCTGATCAGTCAACTTGTCTGTTGGAGAGTGAAAATGCAAAGATTATAAGCAGCTGGTCATAGGGGCAGTAGAAATCCCTTCCACTTTGGAGAATGCTGTCAACGGTTTATTTTTCATACCAGACAGAATGCTTCCTAAGATGGATGCTACTTCCTAAAACAAAGTAACAATATTGGTTACTAGAACAGAGCAAGAATTTACCCAAATTCTGAAGAAAACAAACCCATTTAAACAAACTCATTATTTTACAGCTCTTTGGAACAAAATAAGGGGAAATAAAGGTATAGAGTGCCATCCTTAAACTTAATTTCCACTCTGCTCAGTGGAGTATATGTCTCTTCCTAGTAAGTGTGTTTAGAACTACTGCCTTTGAAGAGCTCTACAAAGTACTTTACATGAATAAAAATAAATGAGAACAGATACAGGAGACTATTTTTCAACACTGGCCAGCACAGTTGTTCCAAATGCCATTCTGTTTGATCCTTAACAGTTGCTCCAGACACCATTCCAGTTTGATTTTAATCAGGCACCTGTTTATAAAGAAACAGGATTCATGCTGGCAGGATAATGGATCAAGGAATATTCACGGTTATTTACAATAGATCCAAATACAGGGTTTCCTAGCTCACAGATTTTTCTTTTGCCCTTTCTATCAATTTGATATTTTTATATCAAACAACAGCTGTGTAACTACTTACCACACTGAGCAGCACTTGTTGAATACTTTTTACTGAAGAAGAATGAAGGAAGATTCTACCCATATATGATTTTTTTTTGTCATAAACAGTATAAATGTGGGGTCAACAAATTAATAAAAGCCATGAATAATACTTTGCTCTGAAAGTACATTTTTGGAAATATCCTATCTTTGAACATACAAGTGTGCTTGGCTTAAAAGGAGAGAATTTAGACTGCAATTTATATCATTACTCATAGCTCCAAAAAAGAATTAACATCCAGACATTAAAGGAAGGGCAATCAGAGTGCTAACTGGGCTGCGTCATGAAAAGGTGACAATTTTATCACATGCTGTTCATGTGGATCTTTTACACCCAACTTTTCATCCTACCTTGCTCTTGAAATACTGATTGTCACAGATAGTCTTTGTGCTTTTGCATAATGCCCATATTTGATGTTATGAAAATTCACATACAAAACATGGACACCCTTAGTAAGCATGCTGGAATACAGGCAGGAATAATATAACCATGCACATATATTCTGAGGGCTTTCCCCCAAAAAACTGACATTAACATTTACATGCACCACTTAGTATCACATTTGTCCATGGTACAATGGGAATTGGGGTTTGTAAGCATTCATGACCTTTTCTCTTCATCAGAGTCTTTTCCTTTTTTCTTTGAAGTTTACAGTTCTGAGAAGACTGGTGCAAAAATATAATATATCTATATCTATATATCCTTCCAATTTGGACTGGTCTTCATTGAGTTTCCAGTCAAAGGTTCCTGGAGTTTCATACCGTGCTTCTCCACTTGCACAGTTTGGCACTGAGTCTTTGTTAGAAACACTTATTAGTGTGCCAGTGATTTTCTCAACCACTGAAATAATTCTTCTTTATAAAGCAATTGCCACCGGACATTAGCTTCTACTGTTTCCACAGCTCGAGAGAAAGAGGCAGCAGATCCCTCTTCATGGGTCTTTATAAAGTTCTTTAGCTGGAAAAACAATTTAGCATGTTAATTTGGGCTCATCTGACATGAATTCATTTTTTCAATGCATATGAACAAATCATATATTGAAAACAGAGCCCAATATTTGCTGCAGAAATTCTTGTAGGGAGATTTTTACATGGATATTATTTATTACAAAATGCAATAAGGCAACAGACTGCATCAATTAGGTGTGATGCAATTGCTTCAAATTGTGCTGGAAGATATTGACGTGCCAATGCCTGATTACATTAACATCACTTCCTCTGTCTCTCCTGTAGCTCAGCTGCTTTATGTTGCAGACAGCTGGGCTCTTATCAAGTTTTACTCCTACATAGAAAACTAAATAGGGAAAATTGGAAACACTCCTAATGTAGCGTTTGAAGCTACATTAAGCTAAAACACACAGGCTCCTCTCTGAAGAGCCTTAGTTTATCAACTATTACAAAAGATGTGTTTGTCTAGGGTTGAGGAACACATTCAACTCTGTATTGTAAATGGCTGGATGTTTATGCATGGGTTTGAGGGGCTTCTTGACACATTATCAGGAGCAGTAACTGTATTTATACTTTTCTAACAATAGATAAATTAACTCTATTAAGTACATTTACTTTCAAATACAGGCAATCCTCAAGTTATAAACAAAATAGGTTCTGTAAGTTTGTTCTTCAGCTGAATTTGGAAGCCAGAACAGGTACATTTTTAAGTGTAACTCCAACCAAAAGAGTGTGTGTGTGTGTGTGTGTGTGTGTGTGTGTGTGTGTGTAGGAGTGCTTTGAATAGCACAGGGAAGGGTTAATACCCCTAATATGCCTGTGGTGTTTGTTTTGCTGTCTGTGCTCCTGTTAAGAAGATTTCACTTCACATTTTGTCCCTTGTTGGCTTGTTTTGGAAACAAGGATTGGTGATAGAACTTTAGTGGAGACAACTTTCAGAATGATAACTCTTCCAGGAGTTTCCCTTCCTAGGTATAGATTTCTCTCACTTCCTGTTGTCTCACCCCTATTATTGACTATGAGTCAGATGTGAGCCAGATGTTTGTAACTCAGGGACTGCCTATAGATTCCCAATCAACGTTGCTTTTATTTGTTAAACAAACATGTCCTTAAATAAAGGAAATTGGACAGGTAGCCTGCTTATTTCCTCTTGGTTATTTTGTGCTTTCCCACCCTCATTAGCATCATCAACACTTTTGCAATTCTGCTGGAAATCAAGTTGCACACTCTTTAGCCCCAATCCAACTTCTCCCAGTATAGCTTACATATTCGCAGGTGGACCTATGCTATAATTATCTCTACGTACACATACTTAATAAAAAGGCTCCAAGGCTGTTCTCATGGCCATTTAATGCTTTGTGGCAAATAGAAAAGATTGAAAAGATGCTAGGCTGTGATCAATAGCCAGATGCGAATTGATCACAGCAGTGCTAAGATCTGCCAGGATCCACCAAATGTCTCGGGTGTTGATGCCATCATTTCACACCTGACTATGGGGATGTAACCTGATGCTTCTCTGTCTGCTTGCTGTGAAGCATTGAATGGCTATGAAAGACAGGTTTGGGGAACTTTCAGTAAGTCAAAAGTGGGGAGGAGGACAATGCAAAAGGAGAAAGGGACTACCAACCCTCACAGCACCCAATAAAGTACACCTGCATACATAAGGAAATTCTAATGTGCCATGTTTCCAAAGGGAATTTCTGAAACTTTGAAAATTGCAGGAGGGTGCCACTTCTGGTGGCTTTTAGTAGGGCAATGTTACCTCCCACAACCTTGGAAAATTGCTCAATCCTACCTTAAATTAAAATAACGCCCATTCATTCTAACAACATTCTGTTGTTCCATATTTAAAAAGAAGAGCTGAATCACATTATACCACAAAGTAAGGCAACCTTGTTGCTTTTACATATCAAAATGAAAGACGATAGAAAGAAGAATGCAAAATAACTGCAAGGACTGAGCCTGCATAATATTTACCTCATTTAATTCACCCTCTGTATTAAGAAATTCTGTAACTCCACTGATAAGTTTTGAATTCATAAATAATGCTTCTCCATATCTTCAGCACCAGGTCAAAAACACAAACACAGATTAGATATTGTGAGAAGGCCTTTGATAATTCAAATCTTAAAATGTTTCTATTGTAATAATTCAACAAATCCAAGTTTCTCTCTTTAAAATTCTAGTTCACATTCAATCTGATTCATAAAAAGTAGTTTATCAGCTAGGCTGGCAAACATGCATATGAATAAACATAAACATTTACTTGCATTGCCTTTTCTTTCATTTTTTCCCTATTTTTCTCAACACCAATTTTTAAACTTACTACTTTTGTTCATGTGTTCACTATAAATAGAATGCTTACTAGGGGCCCTTCCAGACAGGGCTTTAATCTGAGACCTGTCTCAGTTTTACAGGAGGTATCCAACCAACGTCTCTGGTAAAAGCAAACTGATGTGGAATAAACCAGGGTTTTCTCATCGGATTCGGATCTTAATGAGAAACCCGGACCTGTGATATTGGATTGACTTCCAATATCACATTCTTCAATACTGGGGTTAATCTCTACATCCTGCTTGCACTTTTGGGCTTATGGAGCCCCAAGGGGTGAGAGGATGCCCACTGCCTTTCCCTCCAACCCCCAGTTTCATTACTGTCTGTAGTGTCCTCTAGGCTAGAGGAAATGGCGAGGCAGGGAGAGTGGGGAAGGATTTTCTTTGTCCCCTTCCCATCTTCTGAGTCACCATTTCCTCTAGCCAGGTGGATGCTACAGACATGCTCTGTGGCTGCCAGCCCCTTTGAGGTACATTTTAGCAGCAAAATCAGGGGCTTCGGGTTGCTTCATGCCATCCTGATTTGGCATGTAGCCACCCCCCCCAGGGAAAATCAAGGCTTTGGGTTGGGGGTTGGAACTAGAACCCGCATGGAAGCGGATTATTTTAATCCGTTTCTGTGTGGGTTTTACCTCTGCCTTGGAGCATCCTAAGCTTTATGAAATGTGAGATGGGAAAAACTTTGATAATTCCATAATGAAAAAAGTTACGAACAGCTACATGGAAGAAGGCCAACTGATACCCAAACTACAGACTTTCTGGCTGGCATTAACCTCTGTGTGCTGTGAGATTACTAACAGATACTATGTTATTAATTATGACTCAGTATTTTAATAACATATTAGTATTTATATATACAAATATATAACAATTCAACTTGAGCAGATCTATGATATCTCCTTTTTTAAATTAGAAGGTTAAATTAAAATTAACTACATTAAATTGATTGGCTGAAGTTACAAAGTGAACTGGTCATTGCTTGCTATTCTAAAAAGTACAGAAAGGACTGCTGTGTGTCATTTGTTTTGTGTGCCTTCAAGTAAACTCTGAGTTATGGACATCGTGTAATAGGTTTTATTGACAATATTTATTCAGAGGAGGTTTCTCATTGACCTCCTCTGAATATAGCCTACAGCACCCAATATTCTCTTTCTAGCTTTCTACCTTCCATATACTAACAGGCTTAGACCTCCTTAGCTTCTGAGATCAGACAGGATCTGGTGCCTTTGGGCTATTTGGGCTTTACCTAGTGAATAACATTATCATGCTTTTTCCATGCAATATTTATAGGAATCCACCTTATACAAAGTCAGAGCACTGGTTGACCATCCTGATGTTTTGCACACTGATTAGCTTGTAGGTATTTAGAATTTAATTTGTGACCTTCTGCATACAAACCATGTACTCCTTCTACAGTACTTCTGTAATATTATAAGTGACCCATGCATGAGCCTTCTCCAGACTAAAAGTGTGGGATCCCAACAGGCTATAACTGAAACCTGGTTATTATGGAACATAACAGAAGAATCCAGCTAGATTCTGTGTGTGTGTGTGTGTGCGCGCGCGCATGCGTGCGCTTGTTGGGTGTGATCTGTAGAGACATTCCCTATCTCAATATGTTCTTCCCTTTCATGCAGTTAAGAAACAAAATGACAAATTCTTGCCATTTGTTCAGATAACTTGAAGCACTTAACAGCCTGTGAAAATACAGCACCACCCCTATATATGCAGTACTCATATCCACAGTTTCATTTATCTATGTCCAATAATATATGTTATCTGTAGGCATTTATAGGTCCTTCAACATGATGATATGGTATTCTTGGATCAGAAATCCTTAATTTGATAATTTCTATAGGGTTCATAATTATCTGTGTTTTCACTACCCACCAACTAATTCAAAGATAACAACTTGTCTGCGCAAATACCCAAGCCTTGAATACCAAGAAATCCTTAACAACAATCCTTTATACAGGAGGTTCTCTGTATCTGCCAGATTCAACAGTCAATATTACATCAAGTGACCTTTCTATGTACAAATGGGCAAGTTGACCTGTAGGGGATTAAAAGATCTGTCTGCTGCACAGATACATTTGAATGTATGTATTTATACCATTACTATAGAGTACTAACATGCATAACAATAGAGAAACAAATGATTGTATAGAACCATCTATGAAAAGAATAAAGTAACTCATAACATACACAATAATCACGGTGTTTATATAGGTAGGCATATATTCCCATAGAAAGAGACGAAGCAAATGGGGCATTAAATAAACATGAGCTGTGCAACACAAAACACTTAAAAACATTTTATTTACCTTGCATTTAATATTTTCCATTTTTCTCTAAAAAACTTCCAAGCAAGATCTCTTCCATGTGGATTTCTAGCTACATGGATAATGACATCAATTGCATCCTGATCCAGGACAACTTCTGAATTTAGAGAGAGGTTAAGAAGCCTTGAATAATGGGAAAAGGGGAAAAATGTTTAGTTTTCACAAAAATAAATATTTAAACATCATGCTTTCTGACCAAAAATTACTACATGGTTCCTGAAATTAATTCACTGGCTTTCTGTTTTCATCCAAAAAGGATAGAAAACAAGCTAGATTTTTAGTCACTTCTATATCACCTTAAATGTTACTATGAGTTTCTGCTAGCCTAACATTTAAATGCATAGTTATTTTAAAGAGAAATTGAAACACATTGTTTGAAAGACATTATCTTCATGCAAACATTTCTGATACTCAAATACCTAGTCTCTTATCAGTATGCAAAGGGATCCTGTACCACCTTTGAGATTAACTGAAAGTAGTTCATAGCATATCCTTTCGTAGACTAAGGGTGCATTTACACCAGGCATGGGCAAACCTTGGCCCTCCACATGTTTTGGACTTCAAATCCCAGAAATACCAGTCCTTACAGACTGTTAGGAATTGTGGGAGTTGATGACCAAAACACCTGGAGGGCCAACGTTTGCCCATGCCTGATCTACACTGTGTAATCAATGCAGTTTGACACCACTTTAACAGCCATAGCTGAATGCTATAGAATCATGGGAGATATTTGGTGAATGCTATGATTCCATAGCATTCATCTATGGCAGTTAAAGTGGCATCCAACTGCATTAATTCTACAGTATAGATTCATCCTGGGTTAAGTTGCAACAAATGCTGCTACAAGATCTAATAGTTAATAGTTTCAAACAGAGCAATAAAACCTTTCTTGATAATGAAAATGCTTCCCTGTGAGTTCAGGCATCTGACTTACAAACTACTCATGGTTAAGGACAGGGGTGAGATCTTCGAAAAGGAAATTCACCCCTAAAGTTTTATCCCCAATCCTTGTTTCCACAACAAGACTTTTTTTTCAAAATCCAATTATCACAGGGACAGAAAGTAAGGTGAAATCTTTTGCTGCACAGGCAGCAAAACAAATGTTACTGGGGTGCTAACCCTTCCCTATGCTGTCCAAAGCTAGCTTGCTCACCCCCCCCCCTCTATATATATACATGTGTGTGTGTGTGTGTTACACTTTAAAAATGTACCTGTTTCGACTTACATACAAATTCAACTTAAGAAAAAACCTTCAAAACCTATCTTGTTGGTAACTTAGAAACTGCCTGTAAACTTAGAAACTGCCTGTAAACATGTTCATGGGAAAAGTGATATTTTTAGTGATATAACAGTAAGAAACAAAATAAAGGGATCAATGAAATTAGCAGACCTGTTTAACAAATTTCTGTCATCACTACATGTTAAAGCTTCTAGCAATATTTTCTTTTCTGATACTGCTGTAGTAGAGTGGAATTTCATCCAGATGAACTCCCAGACGTCCTCATCCATTAGAGAAACTCCTGTGCAGTAGACGATGTCTCTCACATTTAATGGTATTCTTTAAAGGGATACATTAAAGAAAATGCAGTATTACCACATTAAGAATAACAATAATATGTTCCAAAGACATATAGATGAACATGACAGCTAATCCTCCATTTCCATTGCTTTTGCATCCAGGGATTCATCCAATCATGATTCAGAAAAGAAAAGAGATCTTAAGGATCTCTGCGGTACTCATTTGAGTTGTTTGCAATTTGATCCAGGGGAATATCGTATTACTATACCATTGTATATAATGGGACCTGAGCATCCATGAGTTTGGGTTTCCAACTCCAGAGGGAGTTTTGGAACCAACCCCAAGCAGATACAAAGGCTCTATTATATGTGTTTCTTTGTCTTGGTCTTGGAGGTGACAAAAATGGATGGGGTGACTCTGGGTTAATGTATATTGTTTAGTATTTTTTTAAAAAAAATCCTTTTAAAGTGCTCACAAGGAAGTTTTCAATTTGGAGAAGAAATGTGTTATGTGGGAAGGAAGAGATGCTTGCCTTGTAAATTTGATTAAATTTTCCTGTCCAAGTAATTTGCAGAAGAGAAAAACTTATGGATATATTTTTTATTCTCTTTAGTTAGCCCTTCTGTGGGTTGAATAATTGTTTTTGGTGAAGAAGGAAGGTGTGAGAAAGGGATTAATGCTACAGAGAAGGGTTAGAGTCCTTCTGCTATTCCCTAAAACTCAAGATGAAGCAGTGCACAATAACCCGCTTCCTTATGCATTTCAGTCTCAACTCTCAAATCAAACCCTGGACTGTCCTTTGAGGGGTGGCATCCAGCCCCCTATACCCTCCCCCCAAAAAACCTATTGAGGGCCTGCTGGCAGTGCCCTCCCCTCTGTACAATACTCCTGGCATCAAAAATGACATCAGGATTTGGGAGGAAGAGGGAAATCCTTCTTCCCCCACCACCCCCTCATGCACCATTTTCAAACATTAAGAGTACTCTGCAGAGGGGCCAATGCTGTCAGCAGGTCCCTCCGCTAAGTTTTTTTTTTGGGGGGGGGAATGGGGAGCTAGAGGGTAGGGTTGAGAACTCTTCCACTCCTTTGGACTCCAGGAGCCCAAAGAACTGGGATGGCTGTGGGGACTGACACCCAGGACAGTGGAAGCCATCCTGGGAATCAATCCCCACAGGCCTGGCACCTGGAAAGGTCCAGATCTTTTCAGGTGTCAAATTAATATGGAGTAAACTGGAAACACCCAGTTTTCTCTGCATTTATTTGCTTTTACCTGAGGTGTCATTTGGAGGTGTTGTTTGGACCAGAACAGAAGAAAATCTGGCACTGTGGGCACATCTATATGGACTACTTAAGTCAATTTCAAATGGGATTGAAGAAAGTAGTTTTGCTGTGCAGATAACTATGCAGGAAACCCTGGAACCAGTTTATGGTATGGAGGCAAATTAAGGGCTTTCTTTTCCCACCGTTTCATGGGGTTTGTTGTCTAGCCACTGTAGTTTGCTTAAAATTCCATTAAATGGTCAGTGCAGATGGAGCCTGTATCAAGAGCAAAACCAAGAGCATGTGGTAGAGCCATCTTTCCCACTGTTCTCTTGTGTTTGAAACAGAATAGGTACTACAAGTGTTCTTTCATGGAGCATCAAATTATTATTAATCCCGCTCCACAGTTAATTACATTTATTTTTAATCATTATTACATCTTCTAGGAAGGAAAAATGAAACACACATATAGGATTGATAATACTTGGTTTGAAATTAAGACACATGGAAGAGATGTAGGGGTGCTTTGAATGTGATTTTCCTGGTTCTTGGCAGGGGATTGGATTTGATGGCCCACAGGATTTCTTCCAACTTAATGATTCTATGATTCTATGGTATTAGTAGACCACAGGCTAAACATGAATCAGCAGTGTAATGTAGTGGCCAAAAGAGCTCATAAAATTGTGGGCTGCATCAACAGGAACTGTTGTAGTAGAGCCTGTGAGTAGCATTACAAACAGTAGTTTGAGTGCCAGAAGGGGAAAAAGGGTTACTCGGGAGCAGGAATCTGATGATGAGCAGCAGGGAAAGAGGATCCGGGACATACTTACAGCACCTACAGGTGAGAAGTCGTTTGAGGGATTCTCTGGGGATGATGGGTCAATCATTATAGGTGTCAGAAGGGGGAAAAGGGTTACTCGGGAGCAGGAATCTGATGATGAGCAGCAGGGAAAGAGGATCCGGGACATATTTACAGCGCCTACAGATGAGGAGTCATTTGAGGGATTCTCTGGGGATGATGGGTCAATGAGTGAAGGTGATAAAGGTGACCTTGGATTGGACTAAGATAAGAGAAGTGCAAGCTATTTGTGAGGAGCCAACAACTAGTGATACCATTATGGGGTTCTTTGGGGGTGAAGACTGGCAATCAGGAGATCCAACTGAGTCTTGGGGGGACCTAAGTCTTGACAGGAGATGGAGGACTTGGAGGGAAAGACAAGGGGGCTCACATGAAGAGCTGGAAGCAGCTGTGGGGGATAATGGTAGGGCGGCGGTCAGTTCATCTTCTGATGATGAGTTGTAAATAAAAGTGGGCTCAGGAGTGAGGGGACCCTGCAGAAGGCAAGGTGTTGGAGTGTGTTTGTGTTTTGGGTGCTGTGTGACTTGCTATTGCCAGTTTTGTGTTCGGTGTTGGTTTGGGATCTGCAGTTTGTATCTCTTGTTATTGACCCGGATTGGCTTCTCGTGAGTGTGGATTTCTCCCTTCCTGGACCTGGATCAGCTTGGCTAAAGACACTGCTTCGACGGACTCTGGACCTGCACTGTTTTGGATTTCTCCCGCTTCGACCCTGGACTTCAGCTGACAACACTTCTCTTCCTGTGGCTCCTCCTTTGTTAACCAGTTGTGTACTGTGCCTTTTTTTGACCTCAGAATGCTTTGATTCATTTCTTTAATCCAACTAATCCAGATTATGTTCCTGTAAAGAATTTTGAACCAGGACTGGTTATTTCTTGAGTTTTGACCAGTGGCACTGCATTTAAGTGCCTTTGCGTCCTTTTTTTCTTTGTTTTAATAAACTCTGTATTGAAATCACTTTTGAGTCTGGCCCTTTAAGGTGTCTGTGATTCTAACAGGAACATAGCATCAAAATCATGACAAGTAGCAATCCCACGCTACTATGCTTTGCTCAAACCTCTCCTGGAGTAATATGCCCAGTTTATTTTCCTATATCTTGCCTACATCAGTGTTAGGGGCTTGGAGATTATGATTGGGTGAAACATCTCCCTCTAAATATATTTCTGTTTTAAAATTGCATATGTATCAATTACATTTTTTATGTTTTTAATCTGTATTGGTTTAAATAATTTGTAAATTGCCTTGAGTTCAATTACTGGGGGAATATCAATATATAAATAAATGAAATACTAATATATTTTTCACTGCAGAGGACCCTCAGTTTGAATTTGTTACAAAATGGCAAATTTATTTATTATACTTCCATTTGATCCTTAAACTATAGGACTTTATCCCTGTTTGCATGTATAAAATGTGTTAGTATTTTTTACATCTGGGTCATACATTACATTGTCTAGCAATGAAAAGTGTACACATTTTATTTAAAGTCACTAAACCCTGCCTTTTAATAATTTAGATGATGCTCACTGAGCCTTTCCTATAAAGTGGGCGTTATGCTAGTAGAGCCTCTAAGGGACAAGAAGACATCTGGAAATAAGCAGACAATTCCTTTCAGACAGATTGTCTCATTAGCTTTGAGTACCCTGAAATGCGTACTGGCCACTTCATATTTGGATATAATCAGAAGGACACGAGCATAATGTTCAGCATCTGAAAAAAGATGCATTGCTTCCTGCAATATGAAGAAGCAACTTATCTCTTTCCTCCAAAGTTTATCTCTATGGAAAATTAACCACTTTGTCATCCCTATCATCCTTTGTTCAATGACACATTTCTCATTTAGCATGACAAGTGGGATTGTTTGAATAGAAAGAAAGTTAGCAATGTCTGCGTCATTTGTAGCCTTGACTCGGAACACAAACATCACTGATCACAAGTCACTAACCTATATGTGTTGTTTTGCTTCTTGAATCACTAAGCCTATACAATCATTTCAGATCAGCTTCAAATACACTTCAGAATGCATAAAGTGCACTCTGTCGCATTATATAAAACCCCTTAAAAGGGGGAAAATGCCTAAGACAAACCAAAACTCACACCTATGATACAAATTACAGTACTATTGAGCAATTCTGAGTGAGGCGCAGTGGGAATCAAGTGGCATCTTCCACCACTTCTACAATCCTGACAGTCAGGATGGAGAGATTTGGAAAGACAGCTTTGCTAGGCTTTTAAAGCTCAGCAGGTTTAAAAAAAGCTTTCCCAATGAAAGCACTGGGTAAATGGGAATGAGGTTCCCCAAATGCAAATTAGATAGACTGCTGAAAGATCTAATCTGGGCTTCACTTGGCAGGCATTGGCTCCAACATATACAAAAATAGATCAGACCCCCACCCCCTAACTCAGTGGTTCTCAACCTGTGGGTCCCCAGATGTTTGGGCCTTTAACTCCCAGAAACCCTAAGCGCTGTAAGCTGGCTGGGATTTCTGGGTGTTGTAGGCCAATACACCTGGGAACCCACAGGTTGAGAACCACTGCCCTAACTGACAATGCTCAATTTCAGAACCTACCACTAATATGGAAATGAGCAGCATATTTAATCCAAAGAACTTTTCATGAGGATAAATTGAAATGAGCCACTTTGCTTAATGCTATAGGCTTTGGTCCTCCAGGTGTTCAGTCCACAGAATTTCTGATCATTGGACAAGCTGGCTAAGGCATCTGGAAGTTGGGAGGCCAAAGCACCTATAGGACCAACAGTTGGAAACCACTGCAGTTTCCTCTCTGGCTACAGAACTCATGAGATAAGATCAATCCACATCCTAAATCCCCTTGGGAAGTCATCTGAGGAAATTAAGATCACTCTACCTAGCTACAATACTATAACCAACCTTATCTCAGAGTAAATCCCATTCATTTAATA